AGCCCCTGCTCGCCGCAACTAGAGGAAGCCCGTGCACAGCAACGAAGACCCAACACAGCCAAAAATAAATACATAAATAAATAAATTTATTTTTTAAAATTAAAAACTTTTGTCTATCAAAGGACATTATCAAAAAAGTGAGAAGAAAACCTGCAGGGAGAGAATAGGTGCAAATTTTATATCTGACAATAGTTTAATATCCAGAATATATAAAGAATTCCTAAAACTAAACAACAAAAAGACAAGCGACCCAAATAAAAAGTGGCAGAGGACTTGACTAGACATTTCTCCAAAGAAGATACATTGACACAAATGGCTAATAAACACATGGGAAGATGTTCAACATCATTAGTCGTTGGAAAAATGCAAATCAAAACCACAATGAGAGGGCTTCCCTGGTGGCGCAGTGGTTGAGAGTCCGCCTGCCGATGCAGGGGATGCGGGTTCGCGCCCTGGTCCGGGAAGATCCCACATGCCGCAGAGCGGCTGGGCCCGTGAGCCATGGCCGCTGAGCCTGCGCGTCCAGAGCCTGTGCTCCGCAACGGGAGAGGCCACGACAGTGAGAGGCCCGCGTACGGCGGGAAAAAAGAAAAAAGAAAAAAAAAAAACCACAATGAGATACCATGTCACATTCACTAGGATGCCTTAATCGAAAAAAAAAAAAAAGAAAAATAATAATTGTTGGCAAGGATGTGGAGAAACTGCTGGTCGGAATGTAAAGTGATGCAGCCACCATGAAAACTTCGGCTCTTCAAGGAGAAGTTTGGTTCCTCAGAAAGCTAAATATAGAATTACCATATTACCCAGCAATTTCACTCCTAAGTATATACACCTAAAAGATGTGAAAATGGATTATTTGTATGCCAGTGTTCATTGAAGCATTATTCACAATGGCCAAAAGGTAGAAACAACCCAAGTGTCCACTGATAGATGAATAGGTAGACAAAATATAGATGAATAGGTAGACAAAAACTGGTATATCCATCCATACAATGGAATATTATTCATCCATAAAATGGACTAAGCAACATGGATAAACATTTTGCTAAGTGATATAAGCCAGGTACAAAAGGACAAATATTGTATGATTCCACTTATATGAAGTATCTAGAATAGGCAATAGAGACAGAAAGTAGATTAGAGGTTACCAGGGGCTGTGGTGAAGGGGGAAGTGGGAGTTACTGCTTAATAGCTGCAGAGTTTCTCTTTGGGGTGATGAAAAGTTTTTGGAAATAGATAATGAAGGTGGTTGTGCAACACTGAAAGAACTTAATGGTACTGAATTGTCCACTTCATAATGGTTAAAATGGCAAATTTTATTTATATAGATTTGACCACAATTTTAAAGATTAAAAAAAAAAAGAGGACACACAGAGAGAAAAATAAATACCATATGCTAACACATATATATGGAATCAAAAAAAAAAAAAAAGGTTCTGAAGAACCTAGGGGCAGGACAGGAATAAAGACGCAGACGTAGAGAGTGGACTTGAGGACACGGGGAGGGGGCAGGGTAAGCTGGGACGAAGTGAGAGAGTGGCATGGACATATATACACTACCAAATGTAAAGTAGATAGCTAGTGGGAAGCAGCCGCATAGCACAGGGAGACCAGCTCGGTGCTCTGTGACCACCTAGAGCAGTGGGATAGGGAGGGTGGGAGGGAGACTCAAGAGGGAGGAAATATGGGGATATAGGTATATGTATAGCTGATCCACTTTGTTATAAAGCAGAAACAAACACACCATTGTAAAGCAGTTATGCTCCAATAAAGATGTTAAAAAAAAAAAAGAGGACAACATAGGATCCAGGAAATAGGACCTCCAACAAGGAGAGGGACAAAAAGGGGACTCCCCTGGCAGTCCAGTGGTTAAGACTCTGTGCTTCCACTGCAGGGGGCACAGGTTCGATCCCTGGTCGGGGAACTAAGATCCCGCATGCCACGCAGCGTGGCCAAAAAAATTTAATTTAATTTGATTTTTAAAAAAAGGAGAGGGACAAAGGGAATTTCTAGAGTGATGGGAAAGGAAGGGCCAAGTTGACAACTGAGCAGCCGCCCAGATGAGAACAGAAGGATGAAAGTCTCCAGGAAGGATGAGAAAAAAACAACCAAACTGAAATCGATATATTATTGTATTAGGAGGCTATTTTCAACTCTATCAGAGTTTGAGAGAGAATTTATATACGTGTGTGTATGTATGCAGAGGTATATGTTCGATATTTTAAGCCATCGAATGAGACAATTACTAATTAACTTTAGGAAAAGCAGAAGTGTGTATTTGGATGAGCGAGATCTAAATATTGTAAGAAGGAAGAGAGAGAGTGGCATGGACTTATATATACTACCAAATGTAAAATAGATAGCTAGTGGGAAGCAGCCGCATAGCACAGGGAGATCAGCTCGGTGCTTTGTGACCACCTAGAGGGTTGGAATAGGGAGGGTGGGAGGGAGACGCAAGAGGGAGGAGATATGGGGATATATGTATAGCTGATTCACTTTGTTATACAGCAGAAACTAACACAGCATTGTAAAGCAATTATACTCCAATAAAGGTGTTAAAAAAAGAAAAAGAAAAAGAAGGAAGCCACTTGAGAATTTCTAAAAATGACAGATGGAGGAATCGCAGTATAATCATGCTATTTAGACACGTGGACGTGATTACCAAAGGAAGCAGCTGAAGTGCGTTCCTTGTCGGTGAGGAATGAGACAAGGAACTGAAGTTTTTCATTCTCCACCTCATAGTCCAGCTTGATTTTTAAAATTTTGTACATTTATCACTTTCTAAAAATCTTTTTTCCTAAGAGAAAACTAGGGGGCTCATCTCTGGCCTGTGTGTGAACGATGTTGGCCCAAGCGTCCTGCGCCCAGCCCACTTGGGTAACAGGTTTTTCAGTCCAATGCCTGTTATTCCCTCGGCCTATGGGTGAATCTGCAGGTGTGAGAGGGTGTGTGCAAGTGTGGGGTATTTGGTGGGAGTAGGGACAGGGGACCAGATAAAGCACAGAAAAGTGGGCTGAGGAATGTCAAGGTGGAGGGAATATTCACGGAGGTGGGTTCCTATTGGTTCAGGCTCTCGTTTCCCCTTCTCATCCCTGAGAAGAAACCTTTGACCTTCACACCCAAACTACAGAATCCAGCCAACTGAGAGAGAAGAGACAGGGAGATTGGAAGGGGAAAGAAGAAGGAAGATGAAGATGGGAAGGGATTGCCTTACTGCAGTGGCATCAGGGTAGGGGAGGCCTTGGCTATTTTCTGCAGTATTTTGAGGGGAATGGGCAAGTTTAAGCACTGCCGATAGCCATGTCAGTTGGTACAGCTCGTTACAGTAATTTGGTAGATAGGTCAAAATTAACCCAGCATTCCCACTTGCAGGAGTTTATCAGACAGAAACGCTTGCCCAAGGTCACAGGATATTAACACAAAGATGTTCTCTGCGCCCCGCTTAGAATTACTGTGATTTTGGTAACAGTTTGAATATCCATCAGCAAAGGAACAGTGAATAGGAAATATGAATGGGAAATTAATCCCACAATATGCAATGTGATACAGATGTTTTTTAAAATGTATGTGTTGACATGGAAAGCTGTGTGTGAGGGGAAGAAAGTGAGTTGCTGAACAATATGTATAGTACGGCCCATTTTTCTGGGGGGAAAATGGATGCGATATGTAGATGAGGGCGCAGACAAAAGTCTGGAAGGAGAATCACCGTTTTGTTAACGGCAGTTACCCCTGGCAATGAGATTGAAGGTGGGTTGGAGGAGAAGCTTTCACTGTTTATTTCAAAGTCTTCGGTATGTTGGAATTCTTCCCTACAGTTTATGCAACACCATTATGTGGGTTGTTGTTTTTTTTTAACTGGCTTTGCGAGTGTGTGGGAGGAGGGATGTAGGGGAGGAGGAGCTTGGCAGAGCAGGCGCAGCTCTGTCCGGAAAGGGGCAGGACCCGGGGCTCTGCCCTGGTTTGCTTGGTGCCCTTGGCCAGCCACCACTTCTCTCGGGGCAGGAGCCAGACACCTGCCGCTGTGTGTTGGCGGAGGCTGGGAATGAGGTGTGCAGGGTTCCTCCAGAGCACATTAGAGCAGCCAGTTTCTAAGGCACTAGAATGACTGGGAAATTGTTGACATTTTAATAAAAAAGCAGCGAAGGAGGCAGCATGGCAGTCAGACTCTTGAGTTGCCTGCTAAGAAGGGGGCACTGAGCGGAGGTTTTCTCACCTGTCCAGCAGGCCAGGCCCTACGCCTTCCCTGAGTTAGAACCCTTCGTCTGGGCAGCTTCAGATCAAGCAGGAGAAGACCTGGGGCGAGCTGAGCCCTGGTGCCTGAGCCTCAGTTCTCCAAAAAGCTGAGCGGGGCATGGGTCTCAGCTCAGCCATGGTTCTCCTCCCAGGACGGTGCCCAGGCAGGGCAAGACCAGGTGAGCTCTGTGCCCCGGCTTTGGCTCAACACAAGAGACTGCCAGAGGTATCAGGTGATGAGGCTGGCTCCGGAGGGAATGAGCTGCCCCTCCCTCGATGGATCCATGATTGGGCTAATCCCAGAGGCAGGCGGGTGGTCCCCATCAGGGAGGCTGTGCAAGACAAGCCCTTTCAATGGTCAGTTCTCCAGGCTCTAAGAGAAAGGGAAAGTGACTCCGCTGATGGAATCAGGGAAGGCTATGTGGGAGAGTCAGCATCTGAGCTGGAATTGGAGGTGGGGTTCGGTGGAGGGGGGCGGAGGGAAGATTTCAGAGAGTGAAATGTGACAGTGTTAAAGGGACTTCAGAGCTCCTCCCTGTAAGGCAGAACACACACTGTCATCACCGATTCACATGAGGCTCAGGGAGCTGGAGTCGCTTGCCCAAGGTCACACAACTTAAGCTGTGCTGTACCTTTTTCAAAAGGGTCCCCAGGGCAGGGCCCCGTGGAGGAGCCAGTGGGAGCAGCCAGCATCGTGATTCAGGTCCAGCGGTTAATTAGTAACTGGAAAGCCCTGCAGCCGGTTCCCAGCCAGCAGGGCTGGGAGGTTGAACTTCAGCTGGTTTGGGAGCCTGAGCGAGTGGGTGACAGGTCGCTCCTGACCAGGAAGGTTGTTCGGCAAGTCAGGGTTGGGTTTCAGGTCAGAGGGACCATGCAGAGAGGCCGGAAGGCAGAGCTGGGCACGGAACTGCTGCCCAGGACCTGAGCTGGGATCCAGCCTTCTCAGGTGAGCGGCTCAGCTGTGAGCAGGGCACCTGCCTGCCGGCCTGTTGGTCTACCAAACTGGGGAACTAGTTACCTAGCTAATTTCCTTTCTAACTACCCTATGGACTTCTTTCCTTCCTAACACCCTCCTTGCTAACTCCCTTCCTTCATTTTTTCTATCATTTCCCTCCTCCCTTCCTTTTTCTTCCTTTTTTTTTTTTTTTTTTTGTGGGATCTTTAGTTCCCCGACCAGAGATCAAACCCACACCCCCTGCAGTGGAAGCGCAGAGTCTTAACCACTGGACCGCCGGGGAAGTCCCCCTCCATCCCTTCTTTGCTCCTTTCCTTCCTTCCCTCTCAACTAATTCTCTGCCTTCTCAGCTGCCTAATTTTCTTCCTTCCTAACTAACCCATTTAATCCTAACTTCCTTCCCACTAGCTTCATTCCTTTCTTTTCTAAATTCCTAACTTCTTCCTGAAATTCCAGGCCATGGGCTTTGGAGTCAGACTGCCTGGGTTCAAAACCCAGTTATATCATTTACTACCTAGATGTCTCAGTCAAGTCACTTCGCCTCTCCATGCCTGTTTCCTCCTCTTTAAAACAGCAATGATGATAGTTCCTAACCCATGGCACTGCAGGAACAAAATAAGACCCAGTTGGTATGCACTGTTATTGGTATGTCATTGCTAGGCACTGGGCAGGCAGGCTTGTAAAGGAATAAATGACAGCAGAGTGAAGACAGTGTAATAACAGAAGTGGGCCCAGGGAAGGGAGCTAGGGCTCATGGCACTGGGGGTGGTCTGGCGGGGCTTCTGGGGAAGGCGAGTGAGGACAGGTGCAAAGGTTAGCTGAGCAGACCAGATTGGTCAGGGGAGTGTTCCAAGAAGAGGGAGCTGTGTGACACCACCCGCACTCCCACCGCATTCAGCAGGTCCAGGGAGATGGGGGCAGGTGAGTGTAGTGATGGGGCAGAGGGATGCAAGTCTAGGCTGGGGCAAGTTAGGGGTGGAACAGGCTGGAGGGTTCACGGAGGAGCTTGGACTACCCCCCGCCGGGAGTTTGCAGGGGTCTCTGTAGGTCTGAAGAGTCGGGGAAAAAGTATCGATGTTCATTCAGCCTCTGGCCAGAAAAATCAGAGGGCAGTGGTACCAGGAGAGAAAGATGCTGAGAGTTTGCTCAGGTGTGGGAGTCACAGTCAAGGTGATGGGAGAGTGTGTTTGGGGGCAGCAAGCATGTCAAAGCTCCCACCAGGACTTAGTACCTAAGTATTAAGTGAACAGCAACACTTTGAGAATTTTTACACAGTGGTACAAAGATAAAAAGGAACGTAACCCACTGTCACCTTGGGTCATGTCCCTCCAGCCGTTTTTTTGATGGTTATTTGCATGTCTATACTTTCTTTACAAAGATGGTATTCCTGGTCACCTACCATTTGGAAACCTGCTTTTTGCCTTGACATTGTATCACATGTATGTTCCCGTTTTGATTCACATAAGCTTGTATACCATTTTTTTAATAAATGAATTTATTTTATTTATTTATTTTTGGCTGCGTTGGGTCTTCGTTGCTGCGGGCTTTCTCTAGTTGTAGTGAGCGGGGGGCGACTCTTCATTGCAGTGCACAGGCTTCTCATTGTGGTGGCTTCTCTTGTTGTGGAGCACGGGCTCTAGGCGCACGGGCTTCAGTAATTGTGGCTTGTGGGCTCTAGAGTACAGGCTCAGTAGCTGTGGCGCACGGGTTTAGTTGCTCCACAGCATGTGGGATCTTCCCGGACCAGGGCTCGAACCTGTGTCCCCTGCATTGGCAGGAGTATTCTTAACCACTGTACCACCAGGGAAGCCCTTGTATACCATTTTTTAGCTGGGTAATTTTCCATTTTATGTATGTACTATAATTTATCTTATCAGTTCATCCCTTGATTCATTAGTCAAATAGGTACTGAGCACCAACCATATTCCAGGTTCTGATCTAGATGCTGGAGATTCAACAGTGAACAAGAAAAGCCTTTGCACTTGCAGAGCCGATGTTCTAGTTCAAGACAGAAAATAAACAATTAAAGAGTTGCAGGGTAAGGTGCCAGAGAGTGATGTGTTACACCGGATGGGGAACCGGTGGGACTTGTACTGCAGTGTGGCCAACCATCCTGGTTTGCCCAGGACTGTACTGGCTTAAGCACTGAAAGTCTCACATCCCAGGACACCCCTAGGGTCCAAGACAAACTGGGACAGTCAGTCATGCGCAATCAGAAAAGTCCTCTCTGAGAGGTGACATTTGAGCAGAGACTTCTGTGATGTTAGTGGAAGCCAGCCATGCAGACATCTGGGGGAAGAATTCTAAGCAGAGGGAAACGTAAGTGCAAGGGACAGGAGTCTAGAGGGCGCTCTGTGTGTTTGAGGAACAGCAAAAAGGCCAGACAGGTTGTAGTGTAGTGAGAGGGAGCGCCTGGAGACCCAGGTGGAGATGGAGATGGGAGCCGGTTCACATGGAATCTTGTTGACTGTGGTAAAGACTTTGGATCTGAATCCTAAGTGTGGTGGGAAGAACAATGGAGTTTTTGAGCAACAAAGTCACATGGTCTGATTTCCAGTTTTAAAGAGTCACTCTGGCTTTGGTGAAGAAAGATTCTAGAGGCTTAAGATAGAAATAGGGACACAGGCGTATATACAATGGAATATTACTCAGCCATAAAAAGGAACGATATAGTGTCATTTGCAGAGACGTGGATGGACCTAAAGAGTGTCATACAGGGTGAAGTAAGTCAGAAAGAGAAAAACAAACCTTGTGTAATATCGCTTATATGCTAAATCTAGAAAAATAGTAGAGATGAACTTATTGGCAAAGCAGAAATAGAATTACAGATGTAGAGAACAAACTTATGGATACCAAGGAGGGAAGAGAGGGGTGGGACGAACTGGGAGATTGGGATTGACATATATATACTACTATGTATAAAATAAATAGGTAATGAGAACCTACTGTTTACTCAATGATCTGTGCTGACCTAAATGGGAAGGAAATCCAAAAAGGAGGGGATAAATGTATACATATAACTGATTCACTTTGCTGTAGAGCAGAAACTAACCCAATATTGTAAAGCAACTCTGCTCCAATAAAAATTAATTTAAAAAAAAAGGGATGCTAGGGCAATAATCCATGCAAGTGATGATGGTGGCTCAGGACAAGGTGGTTGCAGTAGTTTCTGGATACATTTTGAAGGTGGAGTCTAATGGGATTTCATGGTGGAATGGAGGAGGGATGAGGGTGCAGAGTTTCTAGAATGAATTCCGAGTTGGTGGCTTGAACTTTTGAGTAGGTGGTAGTACCATTACTGAGATGGATGTCAGAGGGAGGAGTAGTCTGGGGCAGAGTGGAAGGAATAAGGTTCAAGACTTTCCTTTTGGACATGTTAAGAGTGAAGTGCCTCTCGGCATCTAACTAGTGAAGTGTCGGAGAAGCCAGAGTCAGGAGAGAAGCAGAACTAGAGAGATGAGTTTGGAAATCGTGGCGTTTAGTCGACACTGAAAACCATGAAACTGGTTGTGGTCAACTGGGGAACAAGTATAGATAGAGGCCGGGCCAGTGTTTCAGGGTAAAAAAGAGGGGAATCCAGTGGAAGATCTGAAGAAAGAGCAATCCTCGAGGCAGGAGGGAAACCGGGAGATCCTAAAGCCAGCTGCGAAAAACAGGTTATGTCCTCAGAGACACTGACTTAGATGAGGACAAAGAATCCATCGCTGGCTCTGGAACACGAGGTCATTGGTCCACTCTTCTGGAGGCATGTTGGGATGACAGCCTCTTTGGAATGGGTTCAAGAGAGAAAAGGAGGGGGAGTGGGGACCAAGTCCAGACAACTCTTTCAAGGACTTTAACTGAGAAGCGAACATAGCAGTGGGACAGTCTCTCAAGAGGGATGTAAGTTCCAGAGAGGGAGCTATTACAGCCGGCGGGTATTCTGAAGTGCCCTACTGTGGGACACTGAGGTTATTATTATTTTTATTATTGTTTTCCTGTTCTAAGCAGTGCTCCTAAATGAAGGCTGCATCAGTGTCTCATCATTGAAAAGAAATGTCCTTGTTCTGGGCATTTGTTTTGCCAACATGATATCCTGTCCATCTGTGTATTGGTTCAACATTTCTGTTCTTAAAAAATGGAGAGCTCTGATACTGTTCTTGGGTTTTCCTCGTATGACACCCCCGCTTCAGAGCCCACAGAGAACCCCCAAGGCCACTGGTCCCTCCCTGACCAGCCCCCTCGGCCCCAGCTGCACAGATACCCACCCTGTGGTGAACTACAGAGGTCTGGGTGTGGCATGTGGTAACCACATAGAAAGTTCCAGAAGGGCAGGAGCTTAGTCAGGCCCTGTCAACTCCTTCATTCCCCGGAACGCCCCATGTAACCTCCGCGAGAGAGAGGAAGGGACCCTGTGAGTACCTGATTATCGCACCAGGCAGCAAGGCCTTCACGCACCAGGGTGCCACCGGGACCCTGCTTCCTGGCTCTTACACAGCCAACCAGCCCTGCCCTGGAGACAGCGGCCAGAGCCCCGGAGCGCCGGCAGGGAAAGGCCCAAAGGGCCAGGTGTTCAGCAAAGACCAAGGCCACGCTGACTGAACCAGACACCCGGGCTCTGAAACACCTGCAGGTTCTTGGGAGGCAAAGGGCTCTCGGCTGCCACAGTGAGGTCTCTGGAACCTCATCTTCAGCCCTAGATGGTCTGCACCAGGCCTTGGTAGGCCCTGGGGAACATGTCTCCTCACAGACAGGCCCCCTACACACACACACACACACACACACACACACACACCACACACACACAATTTACTGATATACACCGATATGAACACAGACACACAATGACGACTGTCACACACAGGTATCACACAGACTCACACTTATACACACAGCACGTTAACATATATAGAGGTACACACTGCCACGTCCACACACTACACTACACAGAGACTCATTGAAGCACATCTCCACAGTGAGGACAGAGAGTCACAGGTGTACAGACACACGGACAAAATTATACAAACGTGGTCACACTGATGCAAAATACCCTGACATACAGGGACACACTGATACACCAGACAGACAGACACACTGACACACATTTCTGCACGAAAACCTGCACACACACTCCTTGCCCCACACTTTCACACGCATTCTAGCAAGCCCCAGCGTCGCCCGGGCTCTCTGGCAGCTGTCGCTCACCGCCTTCCACCCACACCCCCCAGGGGGAGGCGATGTCCCCGAGGGAACAGAGGTCTTCGGTCCCTTCTTAAGCCCCGCTGGCTCCCGCGTGACATCAACAGCCCCCTTGCTGCGGCCGGGAGTTCCGAGCTGGGTGCCGGGGCCGGGCCGGCGCCAGGCACAGACACTTCGGCCCTTGTTGGGAGAACAGAGAGAGGCTCTCTTGTCCGCTGCCCATCCTCCGGCTCCAACCACTGGTTCTCCCAGCGGCCTCTCCTCAGGCTGTGCAGGTACGTGGGGCTGGGGAGGCCGGGGCCTGGCAGAGGGGCTGTCAGGGCCAGGCCAGGGGGGCGTGTGGGCTGTCTGCGGGAGCACAGACACGGGGCACTGGCTGAAGCCAGGCTGCACTCCCTATCTGGGCAGTTCTGTGGCTCACTCTCTCAGGGCTCCACAGGGCTGGCCCATTCCCTCGCTTCCCCTGTGGTCACTTTCTCAGCTCCCAAGAAGGCCAGGGGGTGATTGCTCCAGGGACCCCCTTGTAAAGACGGGTGGCCTCTACTGCAACCCAGGTCCCACAGTAGGCCAAAGCTGTGGTCCTGGCATGCACAGTGCCCAGCGGCCTGCACGAGCAACTGGGTTCTCAGGTGAGATCTCGGTTCTTGGCCTTGACCATCCAAGCAGGGATAGGGCTATGGGGTCCTGGGCACGCTGAGCCAGGGCCTGGACATACCGGCCTCCCCCACCCTGCAGGCTGGGGGCAGGGAAGACATGTGCTCCTGGCCACATAGACTGTTGATCACACTCCTACTGTTTCATCTCAAATAGACATAGGTCAGTGGGCCTGTCCATGGCTCTGGCCCAAGGTCCCCAGGGCAGCTGCCCTTCCAGGGACATTAGGCGGAAGTCTCTGTGACAGAGAGATAATAGTCAGCACAGAGCCCAGCCCGGGGCCGTCCACAGGGATCCAGGGGAGCCCAGCCTGCCCCTCAGAAGCTGTGGGACCCTAGGCAAGTCCCTTTCTGGGCCTCAGACTCCCCACCAGTGAAATGGGGGGAAGGGTTCAGACTTCATGCTCTGCAAGTCTCCTTCCAGCCTTGGCCACCCCAGATATCCAGAGTTGCCCTGGCTCACAGGGATCTTGCTGCCCCGGCCGTCCTCAACCCTTGAAAGGACTCAGCCTAGGAGGGGCCACCGCTGACCATCCTCCCTCTCCCTCCTGAGATGTTTGATGGGAGAGGCTGGGTCCAGGGGATATCATTTCTTGTCCCACGCAGGGGTTGCTGACCTCGGGCAGGTGTCTGGGTTGGGGAAGGGTGGAGAAGGCAGTGGTGCCTAAGGCCCCAGACAGGTGACACTAATTCCCCAGCATCAGCTATCTCATGCTGCTTCTCCTTGTGTCCCCAGAGCCCACCTGCTCACTGTTACAAGATGGACTCTAGCCCGGCTGGGACCCCCAGTCTGCAGGTGAGTGGGTCTTGGTTCCCCCACCCACCACCAGGGGGCTCACTTCCTCCCAAGGCTGAGGAAAGCCCTGGATGTCCCAGTCAGCCGCGTGGGCGGTCCCAGGACTGGGGGTGCCCGCAGGGGTCACTGTGAGCCCACAGAACCGGGCCGGGCCGTTTGCAGGGTAAAGAGAGAAGAGACTTGGGCAAGGGCTTCAACAAGTAAATGGGGTGGAAAATCATGGGATTGGCCCTGAGGACACCTGCGTTCTCATGCCAGTGGGGCATCCTGGAAGTCCTTGGATGGCTCTTCTCTGGGCTTCAGTTTCCTCACGCTCACATTTGGTACAACGGCCAGCAGCCTCCCAAGGCTGATGTGTGAAGCAGGTGAGATGGTGGGTGGGTTGGCAGGTGGACGGAAAGAGGGAAGGAAGGGAGGGAGGGAGGGAGGGGGGGAGGGGGAGGGAGGGAGGAGGGAGGGAGGCAGGGAGGAGGGAGGGAGGGAGGGAAGAATTCTAGTAGAGATACTGGAAAAGGAGCAGGGCTTGGACCAGGGGAAAGAGAGGGAGCCAAGACCTAGGGACCCTCTGACTTTAATCACTTTTTCTTTAAATGTCTTTAGCCCCCAAGGGCCAATGGGAATATCAACCTGGGGCCTTCGGCCAACCCAAAGTGAGTTCTCATCTCTCATATAACTTTCCTCCCTGGCTCCCCTCATACCTGGCTCCCCCATCACCTTGGGAATATAATCCAATTCTCTGGTCCAGCGTCAAGATCCTCTGCCATCTGGGCCTAGGACCGGCCCCTAGCTTCATCTCCCACTAATTCCCCAGCCTCTGCCCATGCTGAGCCCTGTGGCTGAAGTATCCCCCCAAAGTCTGCATTACTAGCAGCTCCCCACCCTCCAGGCCCTTCTCAGTCTTCGGAGGTCAGATTCCTTTGCCTTCTATGCTGTTGCGTCTGGTTTTCTCCCGACCTTGTCTGTTTTTACATGATTGTGAGATCCCCAGGGGCAGGGGCCAGTCTTATAAGACCCTCCTGGCTGGGAGAACGTGGCGTTCTTAGAAAGCTCCCTGCCTTCTCCAGCTTCAAAGTTAAAAAGAAGCTCTGATTTGAACTAAAGCATCAAGTTTCCCAAGCTTGCAAATGCTGACCCGTGTTCCTCCCTCGTCCCCCAGTGCCCGGCCCACCGACTTCGACTTCCTCAAAGTCATTGGCAAAGGAAACTACGGGAAGGTGAGTGACCCATGAGCATGGAAGCCCTGGGTCTCCCCTTCTCTGGCCTCTTCTTCTCCCTGCTGTTACCTGCACATGCAGAGAGGGGGCTTACAACCTGCAGAATCATGGGCGCAGGGCAGGGGCTGGAGGCCTGCACTGCCATCGAGAAATACAAAGCCTGGAGGAGTAGTCACCACGGGTTCTGCATTTGTCTTTCTGCTCAGGTCCTACTGGCCAAGCACAAGTCCGACGGGATGTTCTACGCAGTGAAGGTGCTACAGAAAAAGTCCATCTTAAAGAAGAAAGAGGTACCAGGGCTTGGGCCCAGGCATCTTCTCTCCTGCTTCTTGACGGCCCCCCGCCCCCAGCCTCAGGTGGATTCCAAAGATGCGTCCCAACTCTGGGCACAGAGGTGGCCCAGCAGGGGGGCCAGGTGGTGCCTGGGATGCTGACCCTTCTCCAGGAAGGCAGGCTAACCACCTTACCCCAAGGGCCTGCAGGTGACCCGGCCCGGCTCTCTGCTTTCCCCTAAAGATTCAGGGCTCCATGGTGGACCAGTCCTCTGCTCTGTCAGGTGCCGGCCTCCCCATCTGTGCAACGTGGGGGTCACACTTCAGGCGCTCCAAACGCACTTCAAGCTACAGCCAACGGGGAGTTCTAGATACTTTGGCTGACTTGAGTCTCTTAACACCAACTCCATAAGAAGGACAGAGCGGGCCCTGAGAGAGAACTGGATGTCAAGTTGGAGGACTCAGGAGAGGGAATTAATGTTAACAAGTACGTCGAAGGGAAGGTGTCCTTCAGAAAGCTGAAGGAGGTGGCCTTGCAGTTGGCCTTGAAGATAGGATTTTGATGGTCTGAAAATGGCATCCAGGCAGGGGGACAGCAACCAAGGCTGAATGTGGATAACGCTCAGCTTCTCCCTCTGCAAGATTGTCCCTGGGACTCATTTATGCGGTATTAACATAGCTTTGCTTACTGTCTCGGGGAGGGGGGCGGGGCCTTTGGATCCAGGGCTGGAGGTGCACCCACGTGGACTGGTCAGGGATGACGTAGACCGCAGAGTCCTGAATACTAAGCAAGGAGCCTGGGCTTGGCTCTGAGGGCAGTGAGGAGTCACGGTGGGTGTTTGAGCAGGGGCACGAGAAGGTCCTGGGTGAGGTGGCCGTGTAGGCGGTGACACAGCCCGTCTGTGTGACTCTGCAGCAGAGCCACATCATGGCGGAGCGCAGCGTGCTCCTGAAGAACATGTGCCACCCCTTCCTCGTGGGCCTGCGCTACTCCTTCCAAACGCCGGAGAAGCTCTACTTTGTGCTGGACTATGTCAACGGGGGAGAGGTGGGTATAGGTCCACCTGGCGCCTTCCCTGCCCGGCCCTCGGCAGGAGCTTTCCATCCCACATGCTCATTGTGCCCCAGGTTCTGGAACAATCTCCCCTCATCCTTACAACAGACCCATTCTGCAGCTGAAGAAATCCGAGGCTCGGGCAGGTAACTCACTTGCTCAAGGCCACTCAGCCTGCACCCGGCAGAGCCAGGATTTGAAGGCAGGTCTATCGAACTCCCAGCCATCATCATTACTTGACTTCCAAGCAGAGCTGCCCAGAATCCCTTCAGTGGACCTGGGAAAAGTCAATGTTAAAGGAGCTCTGTGGTCAGTATTTCTAATGCCCCCATCTTACACCAAAGACCACTACATGGGAGTGACCAGTCCCTGTGGGAATGATCTGAGGCCACCTGGTGCCCCAGAAGCACAGCTGGGATAAGCTGGGCTCCCTCTTCTGCCTCTCTGATCAAGATGACAAGATGGCCCTTCTCAGTGACCCCAGATTTAACCTGTGTGACCTCATGCTCCTTAGCCTGATGCCAAGAGGGAAGTTTTTGTCCTGCATCCCTAAATTCCCTGGTGGAGGTAAAGGGCTTTCTTCGCCAGCCAAATAGACCAAAGCAACTGGCCCGGGAGCAGATCTAACCTAGGCTCAGTTTGACCATCATAATCATTTTATCACCTGGGTTGGAGGAAAAGCACATCTTTGACGCACCCGGGTTCACATCACAGCTCTGCCTACAGTACGTGACCTTGGGCAAGTCACCTGACTGCTCTGACTCTTCCAGTTTCCTTTTCTGTGAAACTGGCCTCCTACTTGATACCTGGAAGGTAGTCAGAAAGATTAAAGGAGATTAGAGACATGAGAGGGTCTGGCTGGAGCCTGAAACTCAGTTAGGTGGTCCACCCCTGCTAATTCATCTTTCCTGCTGACACTTTGCCCGCTCTGTGGGGCAGGGACCAGCATGCCCTTCCTTGTATGAGGACATTGCAGCTTAGAGAGTGGGTCACTTGGCCAGCTGCCCCCCACCCCACTCTCGAGGAGCTGGAGCCCCCCAGGAACCCGCTCACCTGTCTCCTCCCCCTCCAGCTCTTCTTCCACCTGCAGCGGGAGCGCCGGTTCCTGGAGCCCCGGGCCCGGTTTTACGCCGCCGAGGTGGCCAGCGCCATTGGCTACCTGCACTCCCTCAACATCATTTACAGGTGAGGCCTGCCTGTGGCTCAGAGCTAGGCCTGGCCCTTCTGCCCCAACAGCCAGGCGTCGTATGGGCCCCCAGACCCTGCTGAAATCCTGGTGAACCTGGTCCTCTGTCTGAGGAGGAGGGCCCGCCAGCGAGTGGGGGCCTCCTCCTTCCTGGAATTGAGTGCCCATCCTCCTCCGGCTCTCCCTGTGCATCTCTGCATCTCCATGAAGAGTCCTCTTGCAGGACCCCAGTCCCCAGCTCACGTCACTAAGCAGCTGTGACATCACAGCGCCCTTTTCTCTTGTTTTCTGCAGGGACCTGAAACCAGAGAACATTCTTTTGGACGGCCAGGTTGGTGGGTATGTGTGTGTGCGTGCGCACGTGTGTGCTGTGTGCCCGTGAGTGTGTGTGCACACATTACGCATGCCTGCATGGGGCTAGGGATGCATTCAAGTATGTGTGCGCATGTGTGCCTATGCCTGTATACACACATGCACGCATATATGTACACGCATGTGCGTTATGTGTACACGTGGCTACGTATCCATGTGTGTGTACGTGTATACGGGGTGGGGGGCAGGGGTGGAGCCATGTGGAGGCTCGAGGATTTTGTAGTCCTTCCGTGGCACAGACTGTGTTCCCTGGAAATAGACTCTGAGATGGACCACTGGGTGCAGAAGCTTCCTGGGGAACAGTCTCAAGAGATCCACGTTTAAGGGGCTGAGGAGGCAGGACTGGGCAGAGGAAGCAGCTCGCCTGCCTTGTGGTTGCAAGTGAGGCCTCCTCAGCTGATCGTACAGGGGTGGGGTGGGCCTGAGCTGGGATGGCTCTTTAGAACTGTTCTAAACTGAGGCAAGGAGGCTGGGCACCTGTGCCCCTACACTGACCAGTCATTGGATGGGGATTGCCCCTTGAGAGGGGGCATGACTTTGGATGAGGGCAATAGCCCAGCATGGGGGGATGGGCTGGACAGCTCCTAAAGAGGGGATCTGGACAGAGCCCCGCAGCATCCACTCACTGCTCTACCAACCACCCTCTCGCTCAGCTGCCACAAGGCATGCTTTCTGGGTCCCCAGCCCTCTGTTAAGGGGGCTGCTGACACTAGGCCCCTCCAGCGAGAACATTCTGGAACTGTTGCTGTTGTAGGTTGTCGATCTGAGCTTGTGATGAGCTGGGGGTAGACAGTGCAATGCCATCTCCCCACCTGGCCCCTGTGCTGCTCTTAGCATCCAGGTTAGAAGCACTGAGTCTCTGAGTGGAGCCGCCAGCTCATGCCTTTGCCAGGGACAACAGACCCCACAGCCGCTGCCCCAGATATGGCATCTGGGCTTTGGGGATAGACCTGGGTATACCTTTGGCTCAGACCACCCTCCCACCCCTGCCCTCCCTCCTCTATAGGGACACGTGGTGCTGACGGATTTTGGCCTCTGCAAGGAAGGTGTAGAGCCTGAGGAGACCACGTCCACGTTCTGTGGCACCCCAGAGGTAAGCTAAACCTCCTGGGAGGCGCAAGGCTGGGAGTGGATGAGACCACAGCTCCTGATTAGAGCCACCAGCTTATATCAGAGGGACTCACTTCTTCCACCCAAGCACTTCCCCGAGCTGGCTGTACACTCAGCCTTGGTTCCCTCCTCCGTGTCATGGGGGCACCAGCTCTAGGGGCTGCTGGGACCCGGCTGGTGAAACTCTGCAGTAGTGCTGTCCGATAGAAATAGAAACAGAAATGCAAACCATATATGCAATTAAGAAATTTCCAGCAAGCACATTTAAAAAGAAAGAGGAGAAATCAATTTTAATAATATATTTTATTTAACCCAACACAGGCGAAGTAGTATCATGTCAACATACAATCCACATAAAATTGTTGAAATACTTTATTCTTTTTTTTTCTAACTAAGTCTTTGATCTGGTATGCCTTTTATACTTATGGTCCCTCTCAGCTCAGATCAGCCACATTTCAAATGTTCGGCAGTCACGCGTGGCTAGTGGCTACTGTATTGGACAGCACTGCCCTGCAGGGTGAAGTCCATGTGCCACAGGAGGCCCTGACCTGACAGTTAAGATCAAGGTTTGCAAGGGTAAAGACACTGGTCTACCTCCTTCTTCCAGCCACCAAGATCCTGGAGGGTTAAAATTTGCGAGTTTCAGCAGTAATTCACATACATCTCTCTGTCCTGCCAAGGCCTCCCTGCAGCTTTGGGGTTAAAAACCTTTCCTTAAACTCCTTAGACCTTGGGTCCAAAGGGTTTCCCAGCTGCTTGGACAGCTGTCTGGATTGGGGGTGGGGGACTGAGGCTGCAGGGCTGGCAAGTCCTCCTGAACTGGCATGGGACAGGAACTTAGCTTTTGTTTTTCTCCATGTGCTTGAGAATCTGGGTCTCAGATTTCAGCTGTCTCCTCAATTTGGTTTTAGGGGAGCTGATGGACAGACAGCCTCTCTAAGCAGGAGCTATTGTCTAGTGTTTGGGTATGGCAGGGTGTCCTCAGACAGAACTGGCCTCCCAAAGCCTAAAAGCCCAGCCGTCCCTTCCTTGGACACTGCTGAGGCGAGGAGGGGATACGGCACCTTGGATTGTGTCGGAGACATGTGGCCCTGACGAGTCTCTTCCATGACTCAGCCACTGCCATGGTGCTGGGAGCACAGACAGGAGTAACCACAGTTGCTCCCATTGTTCAAGGGGTAACACATATGTTAGCATGTGTCCTTAACACAGCCCCTAGAGAGGGATTCTGCGGTCCCATTATGTGGATGAGGAAACCAAGGTTCTAGGAGGTTCAATGACCTGCTTGTGACCACACGCCCAGTAGGGCTCAGGTCTGCGTAATTCCCTGCCCCTCTCCGCACGCACAGTCTCTCGAAGTGGCTTTGTCTGTTGCTGAGACCCCTTTCCTCAGTGGCAGAGACACCAGGCTAAGAGGCCACTAAGCCCTCGGGTTTGGCAGGAAGCACAGCTCTGCCTCAGGTTCTCTCCTTGCTCAAGGCACGCATTCAGCTGTCAGGAGGAACGCAAGTGTCACCTCCTCTTTCCTGACTCCTTTCCATTCATCTGTTACTAAGATTTCCAGAGCAAGTATGTGCCACACTGACTTACACTTTATCCGTTAGTCTTCCCACTGCCCCGTGAGTATTCCTAGGGCTTTCCTAGTCCCAAGACACTGATTGGATGCTTTTGAGCAAATTTGATAAAGGCACCCACTTTGGGCAGACTAATTAGAAAAAGTTTCCCCTTTAAATATATGTCAGTTGGGACTTCCCTGGTGGCACAGTGGTTAAGAATCCACCTGCCAATACAGGGGACATGGATTCGAGCCCTGGTTCGGGAAGATCCCACACGCCACGTAACAACTAAGCCCACATGCCACAACTACTGAAGCCCGCACACCTAGAGTCTGTGGTCCACAACAGGAGAAGCCACCTCAATGAGAAGCCCGTGCACCACAGCAAAGAGTAGCCCCCACTTACTGCAGCTAGAGAAAGCCTGAGCAGCAACAAAGACCCAACATGGCCAAAAATAAATAAATAAAATTTAAAAATAAATATATGTCAGTTGTCAGATGCACCCCTATACTAGGGTTATGGCTTGGTAAGTTGATCATAGCCAGGCTTGCAGCCCCTTTTACCCCTTTGGTTGGTACTTTTGCGTGATGCACAACACATACAACTGTACAGGGCAGTCCTGCCTGATCTCCTCTATGTCCCTAGCACACTGGCAAAGAGCCCCCGCAAATCAGGTCTTTGACAAATGGATGCTGAATAAACATAGGCACAGACAAGTAAATATCACAGCAGGATCAACCCCTGTTGAGTTTTTCCTCCAAGTGCCTTGCTTACAAATGGGGAGACAGAGGCTGAGTGTCTTTCAGATAAATGTATTTCCCCTCAACAGTACCTGGCTCCAGAAGTGCTTCGTAAAGAGCCTTATGATCGGGCAGTGGATTGGTGGTCCTTGGGGGCCGTTCTCTACGAGATGCTGCACGGCCTGGTGAGTGGGGTATAGCGGACTCTGGAAGAGATGGGGGTGGATCTGTCCCTTGTGTGGCCTCCTCAGGCTCCTTGAGGAACTGAATGAGCCATCACTCCTCTCCAAGCTGAAAAAAGATGATGCCAAAGTGAATACAAGGATTAGATATATTTTTTCAATAAAGTCAGTTCCGCACTTTACAGTATACCATCTCACGTTACTCCTGTGGTGCCACATGACAAGGAAACTGAGACCCAGAAAGGTCACAGTGCTGGCAGGTTGTGGAACCAGCCCCTGGACCCAATCCTAGGCTGCCTGCTCTTCTCATCTGAAAAATTACAACCTGTCTCAAAGGATGGTTGTGAGGCTGGGATGAAATGACGACAGGAAACTGTTAACTTTGCAAAGTGCAAAGTCGTTGCACAAGCTGGATTAAGAGAAGTGGGATAGAGGAGGCACCTGGGGGATCCACAAGCCTCACACTGGTGGGGAGAGACTTCTCGGCCTTCCCAACAGCCTGTCCACTGTGCTGGATGCCCTTAGGTCTCTGTCTCCCATCTGAGCCATCACACAGACACAGGTCTGGCTGAATCCTTCCAGCTACCCACTTTGCTCCAAGTATCCCTGAGAACTGTGCCCACTTTAGCACGGATGATCCTCCTGTCTCTCTCTCTCTCTCTCTCTCTCTCTCACCAGCCGCCCTTCTACAGCCAAGATTTATCCCAGATGTATGAGAACATTCTGAACCAGCCACTACGGATCCCTGGGGGCCTGACAGTGGCCGCCTGTGACCTCCTGCAAGCCCTTCTTCACAAGGACCAGAGGCAGCGGCTGGGCTCCCAAACAGACTTTGTAAGTGTGCTAGCGGAGCACTGGCCCCTCGTGGGGCTCTCAGCTTCCTGCAGAGGCAACCCAGAAGCAGAGACATGCATCCAGCTATTTTCTAAAACCAGGCACTGCTAATTCACGCATTTGGAGATTCACAGCTGCCTACTTATTTCCTTCATTCTAACGCTTTTATTCAACCAGTACTTATGGAACACCTACTATGTGCCAGGCATTGAGCTAAATGCTAGGGATTCGTTAGACTGGGTCTCTGCCCTTATTAAGTTTATGAGGGGAAGGCAGACAAACAAACACAAATTATTACACAGTGTGACAATACGATGAGAGGCCAGACAGGAATTCAGGCAGGGCTTTACTGGGACTTGTGCTATACAGCGCGAGGGGGCAAAAGAAAGTAACAGGTGCCCTTGCTTGCTCTCTGAGGAGGGTGGACTCATTCCTTAAATGCGGTGAGAGTAGGGGCAGATCTGTGGGTTGGGCAGGAGGGGTGGCTTAGGTTGTCTGCCCACCCCCTTGGTGGTGGTGTGTACAGGGCTCATGCCCAGTATCCTGCTTTTGCTCCCAGCACCTCAGAAGCGACAGTTGGTTTTTGGCCTTTTTGTATCTTATGGTTCATAATTTGTCCCAGCTGTGCATGCTCCCTAGAAGCTTGCTCTTCTAGCGTAGAAGCTGAGATGCATGGATTGTGAGACAGACTACGTGGGTTCAGATCCCTCCTCTACCAATTACTAGGTGCAGGACCCTGGGCACATGGCTAACCTCTCTCTGTGCGCCTGTTTCCCCATCTGTAATAACAGCACCCAGCTCATAGCTCTTATGAAGATTAAATAATATATACAAGCACCTAGGCCAGTGTCTAGCACGTAGTGCTTTTACAAAGTGCCCTATATGCCAGATACTGTGAAGTGTAACAACATTTAGGGCATTTGCCTACCCATCCCTGGACAGCTTAAAGAACAGGGCTTTCATGAAGACAGGTCCCCTCCTTCCCAGAGGAAATTTGCATCTTAAAAAATATGTATGATTTTTTAAATAAGGTATACATTCCCATAGATCAAAGCCCAAAGGATATTCAGAAAAAGTCCCTCCAGCCACTGAGTTGTTTAAATTTGGAGGCAATGAGTGTTACCAGTTTCTTGGGTGTTCGTCTGGAAATAGTTTTGATCTGGCTTTGTAGCAACCCCCCGGGGAGTTTTGATATGGAGCCAGAGAATCATTCTTTGAGAAACACAGGTAGAGAGAGGGTCCTGCTGGAACAGGTGGAAGTTCGTGCCAGCACTGGTTTGGATTAGGAAAGGAGTGGTGAATCACGCCCAGGGCTGAAACCTAAATTCTGGATATTTGGGAAACTGCAGCTTTTCTTGGGGCTTTATTTCCCAAATCTTCCATAGTGAGTCGATTTGCTCTATTTCTCTGGTTAGAATTCTGGAAGAGTCAGGATGCACTGAAGCAGAATGGGGGGCAGGGGGTCCCCAAGATCCCCTGGGGCCCCCAAGAGCAGGTCCTGCTGTCTTGTTCACTGACATACCTCTACAGCCTAGTATGGTACAGAGTAGGTGCTCACTAAATAGCTGTGGAATAAACAACTGCTACGAGGAGAGGGCTGGAGTTCGAGATAATGGCGAAGGGGAGAAGTCTAACTGCAGACACTCCTTTGTCCCAGGAAACCAGCCAGAACAGCAAGTTACCTTCCTGGTAAAGAGTTTAGGGCTTGACAACCAGTTGCCAATAGAGTTGGAGCTCCAAGGCATGTGAGGTGGGGTGGGAACGCCAATGGAAAGGGCTACTTCTGATCAGCACCTTCTTCCTGCAGCTTGAGATAAAGAACCATGTATTCTTCAGCCCCATAAACTGGGACGACTTGTACCACAAGAGGCTGACTCCACCCTTCAACCCTAATGTGGTAAGAGGTCTTCACATTCTAGATTCTGGATTCCCAGGGCTGATGGAAGCTTGGAGGGTATCTGGGGAGGTTATCTGAGCCTGCTGTCTTTCTACAGATGGGAGAACCAAGGGTCTAAGAGGCTCAGTGATTTGTCCAAGGCCACCCCATAAGTTAGACACAGAATTGGGTCTAGAGCCCAGAAGTCCTGACCGCCAGTTCAGCTCTGTGTGAGGAGCCAGGCTGCACTTCTTTACTTTTAGCACCAATAACCCTCATCGCAGAGCTCTTTACAGTTTTTAAAGTGCTGTGTCACGGAGCACACCCAGACAGAGCCAAGCCCTGTAAAGATTTTCTCTCTATGTTTAGCTTTTTTCCTTATAATAAAAATGGCATGTATTCTTTCTAGAAAGTGTGTGAAACAGATGTTTAAAGCGTCAAGGAGAAAAAGCTTATTATCTCACTACCCAAGAGAAAGCACCACTGGCATGTTTCCTTCAAGTCTTTTCTATGTTTTTTACATAGGTCACACTTCATATATATAAATATCATCTCTCCCCTCTTTCTTTTTGCTAAAAACTATGTCATTATTTCCCTAAGTCATATAAGACATTATAAGTATGATTTTAAGCGGCTGTATAATACTTCAGCCCTATGTTGGCAACATAATTTACTCTACCACATTCCTAATGGCGAACCTTAGGTTGTTACCATGTTTTCTTTATCATAATGGACTCATTAATAGCTTTAAGTGTATATCTATGCCCACAGTTGTGATTATTTCCTTAAGATGGACTCCAATTGGGGAATTACCGAGTCAAAGAATGTGAATGTATTTTTATTTATTTATTTATTATTGAGATATAGTTGACTTACAGTATTACATTAGTTTCAGGTGTACAACATAGTAATTTGATATTTTTAAACATTATACTCCATACGAAGTTATTATAAAGTATTACTATATTCCCTGTGCTGTCCATTATATCCTTGTAACTTATTTATTTTACACCTAGTAGTTTGTACCTCTTAATCCCCTTCACCTATTTTGCCCTTCCTCCCACCCCTCTCCCCTCTGGGAACCGCTAGCTTGTTCTCTGTACTGTATCTGTTGTGAACTTTTTTTTTTTTTTTTTGTGGTACGCGGGCCACTCTCACTGTTGTGGCCTCTCCCCTTGCGGAGCACAGGCTCCGGACACGGAGGCTCAGCGGCCATGGCTCACGGGCCCAGCCGCTCTGCGGCATGTGGGATCTTCCTGGACCGGGGCACGAACCCGTGTCCCCTGCATCGGCAGGCGGAGTCTCAACCACTGCGCCACCAGGGAAGCCCTGTTGTGCACACTTTTTATGTCCTTGATTCATACTGCATTTATGTCACAATCTACTTCCTACCAGCAGCGTCTGGAGGGTTGATGTGGAGCAGGTAGGGTGCTGGGGTGGGGGATAGAGGAATTGATAGACTGTTGTTGGACCTCATGGAGTACAATGACCAATGTAAATGCATAAATAAATGACAATTAAGTAAGGATGCCCCTGGGGCACTCAGAGGGGAGCATTGACATCTCTCTCATGGCTGTGGGCTCCTTTGGCAGCTCCGCCCCCAGTGTTCCCTTCTTACCATTGGCTTATATTCACAGGCAGGACCTGCTGACTTGAAACACTTTGACCCAGAGTTCACCCAAGAAGCTGTGTCAAAGTCCATTGGCTGCACTCCCGACACTATGGCCAGCAGTGCTGGGGCCTCAAGTGCCTTCCTGGGATTTTCCTATGCACCGGAGGATGACGCCGTCTTAGATTGCTAGAAGAGAAGCACCTGTGAAACCACTGAAGCCAGCTTGTATCTGTAAGAATTACCTTCAGCTGCTAGGCACAGTGACCCAGAGTAACGATGGCTTAAATAAGATTTTTTTTTTTCCCAGCCCATAAAAGAAGGGTGATGTTAGGTGGTCCAGGGCTGGTATGACAGGTCATCAGAGGCTTTCTGTATTTCTGCTCTGCCGTCCTTAGCAAGTGGTTTCTACTATTAGGATTGTTATATTATCATAAAATGGTGCTGGAGCTCTAACCACTGCTTCTGTGTCCTGGGCAGGGAAAAAGGAGGAAACGGCAAAAGGGCACCTTTATAGAGCTTCCCCAGAAGCCCCACCCAATGACTTCTGCTTGCATCTCAGTAGCCGTCCACCCTACCTGTAATGGAGGTTGGGATATATGTCTGATTAACTGGGCACATTACTCCCCGCAACAACACAGGGGTTCCAACACTAAGAGAGAAGGGGGAAATGTTGGGTAGGCAACCAGCACCTCTTTACCAGAGGGTCTCTTGGTGTTTGGAGTTTGATCTCAATGTGTAAAATGACGGAGATGTAACAAGCCTATAGGGTATCACCCAACACCCTCTTATTTTTCTATGTCGATGATGTCTTTCTTTGGGTGGGTGGATTGCACATTTGTTAGGTTTGTCTGCCTGTCTGAACCTCTTGCTATATTCAGGGAATCTCCTGTTTTATGAGCCATAATGAGAGGCAATAACTACCTCCACTTACAGTAGCTGAAAATACTAGATACTAACTTTCCCAGCCCACCCTGCGGCTCAGGCCAGGCATGTGGCCTCAGGATGCACCTGTGCCAGATTTTTGACTCAAGGAAGGAACTGGGAGCTCTCTTTCATGTGGTAGCTGCGGTAACAACACCCACAAAACTGAGTGCCTGGTGTAGAAGTGGCAACGATATAGCAATTGGTACTTATTGGCAGCATCAGTTCCCTCAACAGATCCGTGCTGCAGCGTCATTCCTGTCGTTCCTGGGAATCCTTGAGTCTTATTCTCTAGTTTTCCCAATGATTTTGAGAGATTCTGATCCTGTTAATCACTCCCTTTTTGCTTAACTGGTCAAAGTCAGCTTGAGAACATCTGCCTATGCTGAACCAGTTTCTGTGCTAGACTTTTGCAAGTCTCAGTTTTCATCAAAACAACCCCAAGGTAGCAACTATCCCCTTTTTACCAATGAAGAAACAGAGAGAAGTTGTACCTTGCCTGGAGGTCACATAGCTAATAAGGGCCAGAGCTGGGACTTGGAGCCATATAAGCTGACTCTGGGGCTCTCACTAGTAACCTCTGTGCTGGTCTGCCTCTCACTCTGTTAGATCCAAGCAGAATGACTTTCAAAATCTCTAAGGAGAGCCAAGCCGGGTTATGGGAAACGGGGTCTTGAAGAGGAGGCATTCAACTGGATGCTCATCGTCTGAGCCTGGCTGCCAAGTTCATGCTATGCTCTACCTCACATACCTCTGTATGTTTGGCAGGTCTAGGGCCACAGGGAGCCCAGGCTGGGGCTGGTACAGTCCTGGGGATTAGCCATTTCTAAAAGCAATTCTGATTGGACAGAATGTGAGCATATAACACCCCATGAGTCCAGGACACCCTGCACTTATCTGATGGATCTTGCTGCCTTATTTCAGTGCAACAAAAGTCTTTTTCACAAGCTTGTGGTTCATCACCTACTTCATGGTGGTCTCATTAGCTTTCTGATTTGTGAACAAGAACTTTCTTAATATCAGTGTGTGCTGGTGATTTTACTGCCTTTTCCTCTTAACTCAGTCCCACTCTTTGCCTTACATTTTTGTTTATCCAGCCCCCTGCCCCAGGAATTATGGGGGATGAAGCTGGAAGACCATGGAAAACACACCAGTGACACTGACACTGACCTACTGGGGATCAAAGCTGAGTCAAGAAGAGCTACTATTATCCTTTGATATGTGCTGTGAATTCTGAGCGAAACACTATGATTTGATTTCCATCTTAATAGCGTCTGCTAATAGACAAATGTGAACTGTGACGAAGGCGAAGCCAAAATCCCCCCAACTTCCCAAAGCAAAAAGCAACAGAGCGTAGTTGTCAGAAATGTGATAGTATTGTCAAAGTATACAACCTGCTATGGGTTGTGAAACACGTAATGGTTCTATCCGCTCTAAGACTGTAAAATCACAAAATTTTCACCAGGAGAGAAAATAAAAATGATAAATTATGAATCTTGATCTGTTCAATATCAGAACAGGTATGTTCACACCTCGGTTTATTGAGCACATTCTGAGCCGCATGTGCATTATCTACAATCCTCACAATAAGCCAGCATTTAGAAATTATTAACTTGACTTTCCAGGTAAGAAACTTTCACTCAGAGATAGTAAGCAACTTGCCCAAGGTCACCCAGATGGTACAAGGCACAGCCAGGAACTGAACTTGGTGGCAGCTGATTCTAAGGCCCTTGCTCTGTCTACAACCTCCAATAGTGGAAGAAGTGCTCTGGGCAGCTTTTTTGGTCTTCTGGCAAAGCCTGACTGCAAACTGTATTCACCCAATTTGGTACCAAAAGACAGCATCCTCAGGAAGAGAAATCACAATCACCCTCTTCTTCACTTTTTAACTTTGCAGTCACAGTAGTTGTGAAAAAGCAACAGGAGTAGTGTGTGTGTTTTAAGACCCTAAAACTCCGACTACTCTGTACCCGTTGAAGACTAACAAAAATTCTAGTCTCTGCTCACATCGGTTTGAGCCAGCGAGACAGCTGCATTGCACACACGTCCACGCTCCCTCAGGGCAGGCACTGAGCCCTCCCCTGGGGAGAAGGGTTGCCTGTTTGTGGTTATCGGCGTCTGGTTTCTCATTTTCACGGCGACAGCAGGGCAGACCGTACTTGGCGATGGCTCTTCCGCATAAGCAGTTCCTTCTGCCCAAATGCCCTTCCCCAACCCTTGCCTTAATGAACCATTCTTCTCTCACTTTTCTGCTCAACGGGGACCCCTGTCTGCCCAGCTTCGGCCTCTCACAGCTCCCTTAAAACAGTTTATATTTTTATTTTTTGGTAGAATCTGGTCAGGTCTAACTCGCCGCCAGGGGATGCCCAGAGGCTGGTTCACCGCCACATCCTGGGCGTGGCACTGTTGCGCTCAGAGATGCGGGGCTAATCAAACAGAAAGAATTATCTCATATTCCCATCCTCACCACTACACCTGCCCACCCTCCAGTCTGGACCTCCCCGGTCTTCCAGGGCGCTGAAACCCTCCTATAATGCGCGCCGTGCCTAGAGTCCCGCGTTCTAAAAAGGGTGACACCGACCCACAACAGCAGCCGCAGCCTCAGCCGCAAAGCCCCGCCCCGCGTCGGGTCACCGCTCTGCGCCTGCGCCCTTGGGATCAAGGCTGGGCCTTCCGCACTCTCCGCCGGAAGCCTCCACTAGTCTCCTCCCTCAGGGCGGGGCGAAGTTTGGGCCCTTGGGGCCTATCATTTTTATCAGGCTTTAATGAGACTGGGTATTAAAGGAGAAAATGAAATGAGTTTATCTTTGGCCTAAAGTTAATCCACATTCTATTTGGATTTACCCCTCATCTAAAATAATGGTACAGTCCCACATTAGTCCCGCCCCCTGCCCCCACCCATACTTCTCCCTCCTCGCTGGCTAGGTAAATCGGTCTCTTCCGTCCTGTCGTCATCACGTCGCTCCGGAGGTAGTTCCACGCTCGGGTCCACGCCCTTCCAGCGCGCAGCTTCGCCTCCGCAGTTGCTAAGCGGCCTTGGATACCTGGCCGCAGGATGCTGGGCGGCGTCAGGTGAAGATGGTGGTCACTGGGCTTCAGGTAAGACGGACTCCGACCGTGGTGGGCCGGCCGAGGTGTTGGGAATTGGCGAGGGCCTCGCCGGACTGTCCTCGAGGCCGCTGGGCCCGTCTTAGAGAAAATCGAGGTGCGCTAGGGTAAAGTAAAAGTGGGTGGGGGGGGCGCAGATATAGTCCCGGATCCCGGACCTCAGACTGGGCTCGAATCTAACTCGCCTTCGGCCTGGAGATGTTTAGTCATCCTACTGAGTATGAAAGAGCATTGGACAAGAAACCATAATGTGACATCCTAGTTCCATCCCCTTTTTCTAGGAATCCTGCTCTTAGGAATCTGTCCTACGGCAAAAATAATTAATGGCAGAAGCAGAAATATGTACATTTCAGTAGGATCTACGATGTCAAAAAATTGAAAAGATGCTCATGAAGATTGAGTTTATTATGGCATAACCACGCAACCACTAACCTAATCAGAAGGCAGAATACAATGTTGTATGTACACACTGTGAAAATAAGCATAGGCATGGATGGAATGGAACATGAAAAGATAGCTGTGGTGGGATCATGGGGGGATTTTTTTTTTTTTAACCTGACAAAATGATTTTAAAGTTCAACCTAAAAAATAAATATGTGGGACTAACGAGAAAAATTCTAAAACTTAAGAGTAATAAGAGAGATTAGCTCGTATCAACACCACCAAGTATTATAACATACATATTATAAACCTGTAGTAATTAAAATAGTATGGAACTGGGCAGGAACTTACAGGCAGATAGAATATATAGAATTCATGATAAAATTCAGTTTTTAGGGATTTATTATATAGGCAAGGTGGTATTTTAAATTAGCATAGAAGGGATGGATTGGTGTCAGGAAGCTTGCTAGTAATTAAAACAATAACAAAATTAAAGCACCAAAATAAAGTCCAAATGGACTAAAATTTAAGTCTTAAAATTTTTGACATCATAAAAGTACTAGGAGAAAGCATTGTTGGATGTATTTATAATCTTAGCATGGTAAAAACTCTTCTAAAGGGCTTCCCTGGTGGCTCAGTGGTTAAGAACACGGGTTCAAGCCCTGGTCCGGGAAGATCCCACATGCCGTGGAGCAACTAAGCCCATGTGCCACAACTACTGAGCTCATGTGCTGCAACTACTGAAGCCCATGTGCCTAGAGCCCATGCTCTGCAACAAGAGAAGCCACCGCAATGAGAAGCCGGCGCACCGCAACGAAGAGTAGCCCCCACTTGCCACAACTAGAGGAAGCCCGCGTGCAGCAACGAAGGCCCAACGCAGCCATAAATAAATAAATAAATTAATTAATTAAAAAATAAAACTCTTCTAAATATGTCATGCAATCCAGAAGCCAGAAAGGAAAAGATTAATGCTTTCGACTCTATAAAATTTAAAACTTTCTGTGTGGCCTGCAAAATTCAAGCAAACTAAACCAAAAAAAAACTACCAGCAGCTAAGTCTAAAGACAAACTTATGGAAGTCTTTATTTAATGATCAATTAGAAAAATTTAAAACCCAATAGCAGAGTATATGAACAAGAAAAACAGAAAAAATACAAGTGGCCAATATAAACAGTGAAAGATGGCCATCTCACTAATTTCAAAGTGCAAATAAAAATAATAAGGATTTTTTTTGCCTATCTTATTAGCAAAGATTAAAAAAATTAAAAATAAGATTGTGTGGAAACAGAAATATATTAGCATTAATGGAAGTAAAAATTAGTACAATATTTTGGAGGGCAATTTGGAAATAATTTACTTAGCCATTCAACAGGTAAGAATTTATTCTATAGATATGCAAAGTGCACAAAAACATCATGTTCAAAGATGATGTTTGTAGTATTCTTTTACTAGCAAAAATTTGGGGGAAAAAACATGTCAATTGGTATGTGAGTGGTTGCATAAATTTCAGTACATCCATAAAATGGAATGCTGTGCAGCAGTTTAAAAAAAAAAGTGGTAGATCCACATATAGTGACATGGAAAGATGTGAAAGATCCCGGTTAGGTGAAAAAAGTGTGTTGCAGAATAGTGCATATGGTCCTATTTAGTAAATAAAACTATAAGTTACCATATGTATAAAAAGAATTTAGAAAACTATACCCCACATTTAACAGTAGTTAGCAGTGAGGAATCAGGTTGGAAACATGGTTCCCCACATTGTAGCGTGATGGCAGGGCAGGGCCATGGAAGTGGGCTGATGGGAAGCCCAGGGTTTGCCTTGGGTTTCTGCAGCCGTGATTATTCATTTCACTTTCAGCCTTTGAATTGTAGGGAAATTGTAGCTAAGTTGCAGCAGTGTACCTTTTTTAAAAATAGATTTATTTAATTAATTAATTTGTTTATTTTTTGGCTCCGTTGGGTCTTTGTTGCTGTGCGCGGGCCTTCTCTAGTTGAGCTGAGCAGGGGCTACTCTTCGTTGAGTTGTGCGGGCTTCTCACTGTGGTGGCTTCTCTTGTTGTGGAGCACGGGCTCTAGGCGCGTGGGCTTCAGTAGTTGTGGCTCGCAGGCTCTAGAGCACAGGCTCAGTAGTTGTGGTGCATGGGCTTAGTTGCTCCGCGGCATGTGGGATCTTCCCAGACCAGGGCTTGAACCCGTGTTCCCTGCATTGGCAGGAGGATTCTTAACCACTGCGCCACCAGGGAAGCCCACCTTTTCTTAATGAATTATAAGAAGTAGACTGTTGGTTCCTTTTAGGGTCTTTCTTTTGGAATATTGTTTATTGTTTCCCTTTTTGCTGATCCCTTCTTTTTTCCATAAGGTGACCATGGAGAAAGAGCTTCGGAGCACCATTCTTTTCAATGCATACAAAAAGGAAGTATTTACCACCAGCAATGGCTATAAATCCATGCAGAAAAGACTTCGGAGTAATTGGAAGATTCAGAGGTGACCGAGTGAATTGTTTTCCCTTCTAAGTGATGATGACAGCCTGCTTATAACACTGAAAAGTCTTTATTTTCTTATGTAAAATAGATTGTTTAGGTGGGAGGAATTCCATTTAAAGGTCGTTCAGAAAAAAATAAATGATTATTAAAACATATCTTTCAAAAATTGGCAATTAGCATATTATTAAGTGGTCCCCCCAAATCACAAATCAAGTAATTATTCCAGTTATACATATGCAAGTTTTTAAGAGATTAGAGGCTTTCCCCATATTTTAACTTGGGTCAGTACTTTAGTTTAGGGAAAGGAAAAATGAAAATATCTGTGTGTGTGTGGTTTTTGTTAATGGGTAAAGGATGTGTAATCATACAAGCTAATGGTAGAGCTGATTGAATTAGTAGTTGGAGGACTTCTTTATGCTCTAGTGTGGTTTAATTTGGACACCTTGGCTTATAGGTAGTGCTTGAGCACAGGCTGATGACTGGGGCAGACCTATTAGAGGGGATTCTCACTTTGGGGGAGAGGCTAGACCAGGTACCTCT